ATATAACTTATCTTGTAGCATATATCACCGTTTCGTGCGGTCGGCTTAATTAGTTGCTATAATGATCGCAACGCTCACGCTCGCGACGTCGTGATCATCCGTTCCATTAACATGAGCGTGGCGATAAATGGAACGAGCTGAGCAAGATAGAAAAAACAAAGATAGAATGACGCTCGTGTCGTTGCGAGCGTTAAGTGGAACCTGCCCTAAATGTTTTTTCATTTTAAAGCCAACGGCACACTGAGCACTTTTTCTTACCGAATTGCTAGCTGGATTTGCATGCTTGCTGCCATGCGGGCAGCACTGCTGGCCGTATTGTCGGTTTGGCTTCACACGGTGCGAGCTTTAACCCTCTATCAAACTAATATTGACTTCATTCGTCCATTTCCTTTTTCTCACTTTCATTTCTTTGGTACGTAGTGGATGCCATAATTCCTTCTCACTTGACAAACGATATTTTTTAAATGAAAATTTTGGTCATGTGAACTGAGGCAACGTCCTGATTGGTTCTTATAATGAATCAATACAAGACCACGTAGGAAAAATAGATCTATTAGAAAAATCCAGCAGAATAGTCAGAAGCATGAGGTCTGTTTGTTTTCGCTGCACCGCTGAACTAGTGCAATAAGTTGAAGTGAGAAAACATATACTTGTCTCGCTTCAACTTATTACACTAGTTCAGCAGTGTAGCGGAAACGAACAGACCTATGGCTAGCAGAGGAGCCATTTCCAGCAAGACAGCCAGCAAAGTAGCCAATATAGAAGCACGCAAGCAAACTAGTAAGAAAAAAATGCTCCGCGTTCCGCTGGCTTAGCTTATTATTCCAGTTCAACAGTGCAGCTATAAAGAACAGACCAAGTATTGACACCCGCACCACGAAAAGAACAGTTGAATAACCGACTCTCTTGTATCGTTAGATGCAGCGAACGTGTTAAAATAGTTAGAACATCTAACTTGGATAATATGCACAATAATATTGAAAATGTAAAATGTCATTTAAGCACTTGCATACTTGAAATTTTATTATAAAAATAAAGCACATCTCAGAATCGTGTGTATTGTGTGCGTGTGTGAGCGCGCGTGCGTAAAATTAATATCACAGGATTAACATTAGTTTTCCTTGGTAGAATCCATTTGCAGAAAATTAAAAAAAACAAATAAATAGAAAAGTTATCCCTATATTAGATACATATAAGAAGATATAGACTATTTTATGTAATTTTTACTTACACTTTTATATGTTAAACTATGGATCAATATTTTAAAAGTTACGAAGAACTTGATGTAAGTAAAATATTTGACCACATAATTTGTCTGCTTTTTCCAAATAGCACGGATCTCCTAAGAACATCCTGAGGATGTCCTGAGGACATCCAATGTCTTAAGGACGTCTACAGAATGTCCTTGAGATATCGGCGCTGTTTGAGTTTTTAGTTGAACTGGTTACATATTTAAAGAAATTTATATATAAGCTAATAATTTATATATTGAAGCTTATAAAGCATATGTGTGTAAAATATTCTCATGTTTTAGTAGACATAAAACAGATGAAATGTTTTTATTGTTTCATTTATTTATGTATATATATATATGTATGTGAATGTATGATAAATTTGTAATATATTTATTTTTAGATCCATCAGTTAATGCTAAGTGATAAAATACGTGTCTTGGCATACAAAACTGCAATTTTTAATTCAAAAGAAAAATTTCAAGGTAAAATAGTAATGGATGTTGGTGCAGGCACAGGTAATTTTGATTATATTTCCAATTTTATGTATCATATATCCTTGATTAATGTTAAATTATATATATTATTTTTGTATTTATAGGTATATTATCAATTTTTAGTGTTCAAGCTGGGGCGAAAAAAGTTTATGCAGTAGAAGCAAATATATTAGCAAAAACTATTGAACAAGTATTGAAAGAAAACAATGTGCATAACAAAATTGAAGTAATCCATAGTAAAGTAGAGGATATCCATCCAGATAGTTTGGAGAAGGTTGATATAATTGTCTCAGAATGGATGGGTTTTTATTTAGTACATGAAGGGATGTTAGATTCTCTACTTTATGCTAGAGATCACTTTTTACAGGAGAATGGTTTATTATTTCCATCCATAGCAAAATTATATGCTTCACCATGTCAGTTACGAACCATGTATGAATTTTGGGACAATGTGCATGGAGTCAGTATGAGGTAATTATTACAAAATTATATCAACAAAAAACCTGTTTTTTTATGTATGAAAATCTTTCTTTAAACATATGTTTAAGATCATAATTTCTAACTAGTAATTTTTGCAAATTTTAGTGAACAGATTCAATTTCAATTAATACAAAAACAGACGAAGTATCAGACCTTGCTTCTATAGTCTTCAATTATTATAGCAAAAATTATTGATTTTGTAATATGATTTCAATTCTTGCATAGGTGTATTGGAAAACGATATAGAGAAATCAAATCTATAAAGCCAGAAGTGCTGTATCTAAATCAAGATGATCTTTTGGCAGAAGGTAAATTGCTTGCTTGGCTAGATTTAAAATGCATTTCTACAGAAGAACTAAATTTACTGGGTGGAGACGACTACGTATCAGTATGTGACAAGGATGGAAGATACCAAGGAATATGCATTTGGTTTGCGGTTGAATTCCCAGATGGTTCAGAAATGTCTACAGGCCCTTACGATGAGGCAACACATTGGAAGCAAACCATAATTGTTTTACCTACAGATATTAAAGTAATGAAACATGAACCTATTGCCTTTAGATTGAACTTAAAAAGAAACACACTTTGTCCAAGACATTATAATATAGAAATAAATCTGTTGGATGCGGAAGAAGTGGAACACGATGTTCCATGTAATTGTCATCTGACCAAATGTATAATAATAAGGACGTATATTAAAGACTACACAAATAATGAGGATATTTTACCAACTAAGTCGCATAAAATAGAAAGTAATATGTAAATTTTAAGCTATATATAAAATAAATTTTTTATCTATGATTTCTTTATTTTTCACATGTTTATATCATTTTCAAATACTTAATTACAAACTTTACATTCACAATACTCCGTCTTTCATAAGTATAATAATAACTTGGCATTACGGCAATTTTATTTATATATTTATTTATCAATAATTATATATATAAATTATTTTATATATACAAGATGAGTCATTTTAGGAGCCTAAATATATAAAAAATGAAGTGAAATAGAAAGAAATATTTCGGAAAAATAGTAGGATTTGGAGAGAGGTATAAGTTAATGACCTTAACTTCGTCGTATAGTTAATAATTCAAGATCAACTTTATTTTTTTCAGTGAAATTACGTAATTTTTTTAACACGAATCGATTTCTCTATTCATCCTGCGTATAAAAGTGCTATGGTAAGATTATTGACAAATAAATATTTGTCGAGATATGATTTAGAAGTACTACCCCACCAAAAACCGCATTTTTTTCCAGTGGTAACCAATAAAACAAGTATAAAAAGATATTTGTACATATTTTAAAGAGGGAGCATGAGGTTTTTACCTAACAATTTAAATTTTATTTTCTGTCAAACTTTTTTTTTATAATTCTCTCCAGTTCTCTCCAGTCTTAAGGTGCAGTCCGCGTATATGGAGCATATCGCGCGTATCGAAAATCGCGGATGTTCCGTTGTTTTTGGTATGGAAAGTTTCGTTCCTATGATCCCATGGAGCGGAATTCGCGCGAGCGAATCAAATAGATAGTCAATCGCGAAATAAGTTTCGTTATTTCCTTCATCTAAATAGTCTTGTGATTGGCGAACCGCTGATCCGTTTACGTGAATTCCGCTCTATGGAACCATAGAAACGAAACTTTCTGTACCGAAAACAGCGGAACGTCCGTAACTTTCATTATGCAAGCTTCTTTGGATAGGCTTTTAGATTAATTTTTATTTTCATGTGCCATGAGCTGAAGAATGTAGCGGTTTGATTCTAAAGGATAAAGTAAAATATAACTGGAATATAAAACTTTTATAGATGATGATTTATTGTATAATTCTCTATACATATATAAATAATTACGTTAATTCCCCGCAAGCAGTTATAACGACTTTTTGCATTGGTGTGCCTGCCTTTGTGCCACATTTTTCAATCTTTTTCAGCACATCCAATCCACTAAGGACATGTCCAAAGACAACATGTTTACCGTCCAACCAATCTGTTCGGGCTGCACATAGGAAAAATTGTGATCCATTTGTATTTGGACCAGAATTAGCCATTGACAAAGTACCTGGACCTGTGTGCTTAAGTTCAAAATTTTCATCGTCAAATTTGTTGCCATAGATCGATTTACCACCTGTGCCATTGTGATTTGTAAAATCACCTCCTTGGCACATCTATTATATATGCTATATGTTAAGGATAATGAGTTATCGCTGATCTTAAAATTATATATCAAAATAAATGAAATTATTAGGTCATTGCAGATGAAATGGTCGTTTTTGAACTTGAACTTTACTAATCTTTAGGAGAGCGAGCGTGGTATAGCAGGTAGCGCACTGGTCTACCATGCCAGCGGTTCCCGATCCTGGCGGAAGTCAAAATATATTTACGCTCGCATCTCCTCTCTCGAGGAAGGCAATGGCAAATCACCGAGAGTAGTGTCCTTGCCTAAGTATAATCTCTCTAAAAACGTGTTGCCGTTCGGCATTAGACTGTAGGTCCCATATGCTTGTGTATAATCAACATGCACACCACAGGCGTAGGAGAGAAGGTCACCTACGCCTGGACACAGACGTATGGCACTAAAAAGAGAACCTTTAGAAGGATTTCTATTCATCGCTCATTGTTTGTTAAAATGAAAGAAGTTTGAGTTGTTCTAGTTATTGATGCTTAGAAAATTAGTAAAGGTTCTCCTACGTAAGGTTTGGGAACTGAACTTTGAAATTATTCTGTCTTCATAAGTCTCGCCTCCCCATCGGCGCTCCAGTTATCGACTTGCTTCAAAGGAGATTTGGGATTTTCTGGCTCTTACAAATTTTCTTATTGCAAAAGTAAGTTCCACATCGCAATTTCCTTTACGGTAAGAAAATTTGTAAGAGCTAAAAACTCCAAATCCTTCGAGGCAAATTGATAATTAAAGTGCCGATGGAGAGACGAGACTCATGAAAAAAGAATAATTTCAAAGTTCAATTCTCAAACCGTGGGAGAAATAGTAGGAGAGGCTTTTGCTAATATTTTCAGAATCTATTATTTTTGTATAAAATAGACTCATTAATTTAGTAAGGCGAAATATTCAAACAATATTTTGACAAGATGTAACTTTTAATAATAAGTGCGCATATAAAGTTATCTTGAATGTTCTATTCTATCTGTCATCTATTCGAAATAATTACTATTTCTACTATTTTGACGTACCTTTCCCGACTACTGTGAACTGCTGTCCATGAATTTTTTTCATTTTTGTCAACGTTTTACTCCGATTTCATGATTAATATAGATGACAATGTAAAGAAAAAAAGTTCAATGGAAAATAAAACTTAATTTATTAGGAAAAAAATAAAATTTAAATTGTTAAGTAAGAAACCTCATGCCCCTCCCTCCCCCCTTTAAAAGATATATAACTCGTTTTATTAACTATTACAAAAAAAAAAAACGTTTTCGGTGGGGTAGTACTTCCAAACATTTATCCTCTAAATATTTCTTTGTATTAGTTGCACATACTTGCACCAAAGTTCTTAAACAATTAAAATATGTCATGCTGTTTGTCGTTCCTGTACCTCTTTAACTTACCGACTTAATAATAATATTAACATTGAAGGATACAAAATCTGGGATAATTCTGTGAAAGGTACTGCCCTGATATCCGTATCCTTTCTCGTGCGTGCACAGAGCCCGAAAGTTCTCTGCAGTCTTCGGTACAATGTCTGCTCGTAACATCATGATAATCCTTCCTACTTCCTGCTTTCCTACGCTTACATCAAAATAAACTTGCGGATTCTGCTTTGCTTTCTTCTGTGTTTGTGTAATATCATTTGTCTTCATGTTATCATCATTTTTTAATGTTTCGCCTGCGTGTTCTTGTAACCAAGCATCATCTGCCCATACTGGCTTTGATGAACCTTCTTTTATCTTTTGCGGCTTAGCAATATTCACCCTTATTGTTCGACCAAATAATTCCGAGTCATTCTGTTAATAAATATAAATTACCCCTGATAAATTATATGTACATATAAACAAACAAGTTGTTACACTGATTTATCATCTTATATTTGCCAAATTCCAAAAGTTGACTAAATGTCATAAACACATTTAGCAATTAAGTTTTAAGTAATCTATTTTTAGCAAAGTTAATTAATAAACATATATACATATATATATATATATATATATATATATATATATATATATAT